TGTCCTCCAACCCCGGCACTGGCGACCCCTGGCGGCGGGTCTCGGCCTCTGTGCGCACTCTCCAGGCCCGGGCCACGCCTCCAGGCCAGTGCTCCGCGGGTCCCTAGGCCAGGAACTCCCGTCCCGCCCCACATTCAGATTCGACTCTGGCCCCACCCGCCCTTTCCTCTGAGAAGCCGTCCCTACAAGACCCCGAAGGAGGGGGTCGTCTGTGGCTCTGGCCCCCTTAAATCTCTGGGTGGACCCAGTCCGGCACACCGCAGGTGGCAGAGACTAGACAACCCTTAGGTCTTTGCTCCGGTCCTGCCCCGCGATGTGGACTTTGCCCTCCGTGGTTCGGACGGATTCACTGTCCACCCCACCCCCAGCCTGGGCAAAGGCTACTATCCGAGCATGTCCAAGACCCAGCCCCTGTTGGGCTACCAGGCTCTCCCCGCCAGCTGCATTATCCCCAGTCCAAGGAGAGCAGATGGTCAGGGCTTGAGGGTCACTCTGTACTCGTCTCCACCATGAGATTTCAAACTGTCATCCAACACCCTGGACCTCTCCTTTCTTTTCTCCCTCCACCTCCCTTGTGCTCACTCCAGCTACCCCTGTCTCCAAGCTGTTCTTCCAATGCCAAACTGGCTCACACCTCAAGACCTTCGTCGATGCTGTTCCCTTTGTCTGAAATGCTGTTCCCCTTAGACTTTTCCCTTGGCCTCTTCCTCCTGTTCCAGATTTAGGCTCAAATGTCACTTCCTTCAAGGCTAAAGCCGCCCCGCAGTCCCTCTGTTTGTCTCTGTTTCATTTCTCCCCTTCAAAACCACTTCACCATCCCTCTCCCCACGAGAGTGAGAGCTGCATGGGCAGGGCCCAGCAATGGCTAGTCCCCGTGTCCCTTGTGCCTGGAACAGGGCCTGGCACACAGGAGGGGCTCAAAACAGGTGTGTTAAGTGAATGACTTCCCTGGTGGGCAAGAAATTTGTACTCCCAACTTGGTTGAATACAATCTCCAAAGAGGGGGTGTCTGCACTCATGCACCTCCAGACCATCAGCACAAGGTAAACCCCGCCCCCACCAGGGCTTTGTTTCCCCATCTGTTAACCAGCAACCGTACTGAACAAAATGTTCTCTGAACTTTTGGGATCCAGAAATGCCAACCTACAGGACACTTATGTGACCCTGAAGGATACAGTTTTCTACCCATGTTCCCTGAAAGAGCTCCCCATCACGGGAGGCATGTAAGCGGCTGCCAGGACATGAGATTGTAATTCTCGAGAGTCTGGACTCCTGATGCCAGAGGAGTTTGTCCCCTTCTGAGCTGGGTGCCTCTGAGCCAGTGATGTAACCTCCTTTACATCTCATTTCCTCATTTGCAAACTAGCCTGGGCCTCCCAGCCTGCGGTGAGGCCAAGTGAGGTACTTGTGAATTACTTTGCAAACACCAGGCGTAGGAGGATCAAGGTGAGAAGCTTTGCTGTAATTATTAAACAAATTCACAATTTGGAGGTTGCTGCCGAAATATCTGTGCCCAGCACCATGGGCCCCCCACCCAGCCAACCGGCCCCCGGTAAACTCACCCCCGTCCACGGCGAGGCAGGCTCAGTTCCTTCTGAAAGAAGATGAAAATGGGTCATTTCCAGAGAGACAAGCCCTTTCACCCCTGGCCCTCCACCCATCTCACACCCCAGTGGCCCCATGCTCACCCTGCCCCAGCCTATGGCTTCTTTCTGCTTTCCCCTCATACTGGCCTCAGCTCTGCCTCAGAATCTTTGCACCAGCTGTGTCCACCACCGGGATCACTTTCCCTCTGGTGCTACTTCATTGCAGCTCACATCTCAGGTCTCAGCTCACTCAGCCCTTCCTCCTGAAAGCCCTCCTGGACTCCCAATCTACCTCCTTGCCCAGTTCACACCCTATTTGTATGACAAATAACTCCATTATTTAAGATAAACTAGTTACAGTTTAAAAGACACATGTCGATAGTGGCTAACTACTAACAATCTGTTGAGAAAAGAGAGGTTCCTGAGACAGCCTCACCCCGCCCCTCTCAGATCTGAAAGCCATTCCTCCTTCACCCTCTGCAGAGCCTCTTCAGGTTTGGGTCGTGGGCACTGGTGGGAAGTAGGGCGCTGACCAGTGTCTCACTACTGAAGACCCTTTTGGAGCTCAGCAAGCTGACCTGCCTCACCCTGGGTGCCCTCACACATGAAAGACAAAAAAAAGCCCTGTGCTTGGGGTCCATTGTGACCCCAGAGTCCACCCTCAACTGTGGCTCACCCAAGAGGGTTTTTAAATTCTCAGAAGACCATGTAGCACAAGTTTAGAATCTGGGGACATCACTGAGACCTGGGTGATCTGTTCTCTCCTGGCTGTGGGACCTAGAATAAGTGGCCTGTACTCCGTGCTTAAGTTCTCTCTTCTGCAATTTGGAGATAACATCAGGAGGTTCCGGGTAAATCAGCCATTTTTATTTTTATTATTACTGTTGCTGTGTGTTGCTGCGCTCAGCAAGACTCTCCACAGACGATCAGAATAACCAGTAAATTTGACATTTGCCGAGCTGCCTACTGCGCATCAAGAGCAGGGTCTGTGTTTGTTTGTTTTTTTACAGGCAGAGAAACTGAGGCGCGGAGGGAAGCCAGCTGCCCATGCCTCTTGGCTGAGAAGGCGGG